AACTACTTTAAAAAAAAACAAAAAAGAACATTTACCTGGTCGTAATGCCTGAAAACAAAACCCTTCAACTGCGTTATTGCGCACTGAATATTTCATCAGCTTTTTGAGGACAATGACAAACACTGTTCGGTTCTAAAACTGTAACTTTTAGTTTTGTTTTAGGAGAGGTTTTACGGCACTCGCTACTGCATTAGGTCATATGAACGCCAGAAGATTAGAGGTGTTACAAGAGAGTGCCAAACATAAAAAAGAAAATGGGGAGATAAGGACGATAGATGTTTGATAGGAAAGAAGAAGCAAACCACATCAGCGCACCCGCCAACCGCCCAAAAAACTGTAACAATAAATATTTAAAAAAATCAAAAGCCCTCAACGATGAGTTGTTATGCCAAAGTAACGATGATGAAGCAAAAATGGTGTATTATGTTATCTGTCTTTTTAAAAATCTATCCCGACAAGGCGACTTTATCCGAAACTACTGTCGATGACATATTTGTGACCTGTCCTGTAGAGGGTTAATTAACCCATTCGCAACCAGCGTTGTGGTGTTCAAGAAGAGTCGGGATGGAACTGTACCAAAATATATAGTTTTGTTTTGTTTTATGAGTCAAACAGTCGGAGTAAATGAAGACTAAAGAACCATTATCGAAACTAATTGTTGTTTTTTATAATAACACCACACACACACACACACACACACACACACACACACACACACACACACACACACACACACACACACACATACACACACACACACACACACACATTCACACACGTACGCAACACACACACACACACACACACACACACACACACACACACACACACATATATATATATATATATATATATATATATATATATATATATATAATATTTTACTTGTTTTATATACATATATCTTATATATACATATATATATATATATATTTGTGTGTATTTAAAAAATATTATATATATTATGTGTTTGTGTGTGTGTACGTGCGTGTGTGTGTGTGTGTGTGTGTGTGTGTGTGTGTGTGTGTGTGTGTGTGTGTGTGTGTGTGTGTGTGTGTGTGTGTGTGTGTGTGTGTGTGTGTGTGTGTGTGTGTATGAGGATAGATATGTACTTACATAAAAGTTTAAAAAGTGCATAAAAATATATAGCCTATGCACATAAAGGTTTTTAAAAGTTGAAAATACTGAGTTATTGTGACAACAAATAACGTGTTAAAAATAAGTAGGCTATAAAACTGTTCTTAGAAATTCATATCCTATATCAGCAGGACGAAAAACTAGTCCAGTTACAAGGGTGTAAGCGATCTTCTGTTTTTGTCTAAAGTCTGAAGCAGCTCACAACACAAGATGACATTAGCACAGACGCTAGAGGGAAATTTCTCTCGCAAACAAATTAAGACAGTAGTTGTATTTCTCCAGGATTTGAGAAAAAAACAAACAACAACGTAATTTTCTATTCTCAATGTCGTTGACGTTGAATTGGCGTTCAGCTCTTTTTAGGACGGCAAGACGCTCATAAGTAGGGTTGAAACTGTCTGAGACGGCTACCGTATGTCGATCAGTGCAGCCCTGACCGTTTTAGACAGGTGGACATCTTATACAATGTCATTATAATGAAGAAAAAATAGGTAAGCTATCGTTGTGACATCAGGCGCTCGTCAAAATAATGAAATCGAAGAAACAGACATTTTTCCTCCAGTTTGGCAAGTTTTGTCGAATTTTTTTGGTTTTTTTTACTCATCACATTGCACGTCCGTATAAAAACATCGTTTGGTGTGAATTTTACTGAAAAACATTCATTAGTTGCACAAAATATGCAAATCTTCAGTTTTCAAGGACTCCAAAGCTATGGAATATACCAAACATTGACGGCCATTTCCTCGTTAATTTTACCTCTGAAGGCATGCTACCCCCACCTCCTTCAATGGCAAATAGCTCTACTTCTATTCAAGATAGATGGGTATTGGTATTCTTTACATAGAAAGCAAGGTAACTGAATGAGCTTTCAGATGCTGTCAATAACTCCACAAGCCAAAAAAACAACAACTGATGAGCGGCTGATGCCACCGTGTCGTGACCCGTAGGTAAGAAGGGAAATGGGAAGCGGCTGTGTGTAGAGCTGATTATCGAGGAGTACAGTGGCGATTTTACTAGATTGTTGTGAGACGTGCTGACAAAATGAGTTACTTCTCAAAATCCACAAATGGAGATATTAGCCCAAAATCAACACTAGGGACAAATTGGTAGATTTTCTATTGATGTCATATTCTTTTAGTAAAATATGCCTTATATTATTTCATACTTATAAATTGTAAAAACTTCACCTATAAGCGTGGTGTAGCGATTTCCATAGGGCTCGAATCCGAGAAGTAACTCATTTAGTCAGCAGTCAGCACCCTTCACAGATAAGTGGACATCTTATACTGTGACATTATGATGTGAAAAAGACGCAAACGGGTAAATGGAAAGTGGCCATTTGTACAGGTGATTGTTTTGTACAAGCGGTCGTTAGAGCATGTTGGACTGTATAAAGATTTGATTGAGTAGATGTTTTACGGCACTATCGACTCAATTTTGGTAATTTAAGCGTCATTGTATGAAGATAATATAACAGTGAACAATAGAAAGTGTACAATATTAGGTCTGTCTGTCCCCGAGTGCGCGCTGTCAATCCAAATCAAATTCATCCGATTCTGTCGGGGGCAGTCAGATTTTCTTGAACTGTTTCTTTACCTAGATGATAGGCCTACATATAATGTGGCTTCACCAGAAGACCACAGGCAATGTTGCGGAACATTTCGAACTTAAATACACAAATAAAGAGAAACAATATATATATATAATTGTGTGCGTGGTGTTGCCCGTCTTTTGAAGTTTCAGTTACAGGAAGCAGAACACTTCTTTTTACAAGTCTGACAGCACAAATCAACCGAATTCGATTAATTCCCACTGTGACCGTCATAACCAAACGTGTTCGTTTTTCAAGGTCGCTAATCGAATCGAATCAAATCGAATTGGCCCTTATGTGCCTAAATGTAGCTCCCCGTTCAACATTTTTGTGTTCGTTAAATATAAGCATGACCAAAGAGTGCCCGTTTGTCGCTTTGAGGCTGAAGGGTTCAATGCTGTCGTAAGCAGTGGACCATTCCTTGTCGGCGGGCAATGGACCGGTATGGTGAAAACTGGGTCAATGATGGAATGCAGTGTGGAAGTTACCTTTGTGGGGGATGATTCGTTTTGCTCCTCTTTTGTCTGTTTTTTTAAAAACTATTATTTTCCTCTTCTCTGTACCCCCTCTTCCGTGTTCTTCCACTGTCTCTCTCTCTCTCTTTCTCTCTCTCTTTCTCTCTCTCTCTCTCTCTCTCTCTCTCTCTTTCTTTCTCCCTCTTCTTCTCGTTCGTCCTCTCTCTCTTGGTCTGTCTCTCTCCGTCTCTGTCTCTCTCGCATTCCCTTTTGCACACACACAGACACACACACACACACACACACACATATATATATATATATATATATATATAGATATATATATATATATATATATATATATATATATATATATATATATATATATATATATATATATATATATATATATATATATATGTTACAGTCAAACCCAGAAACTAGTCATTCTCAGGAAATGCCTGAAAATTCAGTCATTCCCAAGTAATTCCTGCTTTGATCGGGCATTTCCAGGAATGCCTAAAAATTTTAGACACTCTTGGAGAATGGCTGAAAATGAAAGCCTGAGATTTCCAGCTTTGCCTGGTTGTTATTTTGACCACTAGGCAAACCATTTGACTATCACTCAGTGCTCTTTGCGTTGTCACAGTTATGGTTTGAGTGCGGTGTTGATTTAACTGTGTTGAGCGAAAGTGAGGAGTAGCGAAAGTTACACACCTGTAACCTGTCATTAGCTATTCACTTTATAGTTAATCTTGAATATGGCGGAAACCCCTTGTGAAGAAACTTTTACAAGAAGACTTTTTGAAAAGTATGAAATTACCTATTACCCAAGACAAAATTAAACGGGATGAATAAATTACCGCATGCATCCCCTGTCATTTACTTTACATCTGTCATTCCGCCATTTTGTGTTTTTTTTTCCGATGGTAGACATTCCTAGGAAATGCCTGACTGCCTATTTCAGTCATTCTCTGAAAATGACTAATATTTTTAGGCATTCCTGGAAATGTCTGATCAAAACAGGAATTATTTGGGAATGACTGATTTTTCAGACACTTCCTGAGAATGACTAGTTTCCAGGTTTGACTGTAACATATATACATATATATATATATATATATATATATATATATATATATATATATATATATATATATGTGTGTGTGTGTGTACTTATATGAAGACAGATAGGGGGCTCTCGTGGCCTAGAGGTTAAGGTGTTGGTTTCTCATTCAAAGGTCCCGGGTTCGAATTCGGGTAGCCATTGAACAATAATCTTCTCTAAAATTGTCTCCTTTCACCTCCTTTCCTTCTCTCTAGCAATGTTCTGTCGTCTGTTTTCGTTTCCACTTCCTCCCCCACCCCCCACCCCCACCCCCCTCACGTTAGTAGGAAAAATCTACACCTAGCCATCTCGGACAAGGGCGAAAAATCTCGGAGGGCCCGTGTGCACGTTAAAGATCCCTTGATGGTCTAAAATCGATAAGAGTAGGCTTTGGCCGCCACCCGGGCAAAATTCAAAATTTCCTACCTACTGAAAAAGTTTAATGTTCCCCGCGTGCTCATATGACCTTATGAGGTTGCGAGCGCCGTAAAACATTTACCAACAAAAAAAATAATTAATAAATAAATAAATAAGAAGACAGATAACTCTTTCGACTCTATCGACACAAGCAAATTATTCCAAAGTGCTAACCTGTACCAACAAATCCCCCCACCCCCACCCCACCCCCCCAAAAATAAACCCTAACGTTTTTAAAATTTGAAATGATTGTATTTTAATTTCTCGATTCTTACTTTTTTTAAATCTTTAGCACAGCACGCAATCTGGATTCAAAGGCACCCTATAAATCAAAATGGCTTCCCACAACCACACCAATGGAGTACACACTCAAAATGGCAACGCCAGAACAACCAACGGATTCTCGGAAGTGAACGGCCATGTGGTGAAATCCAAAGCCACGAAACGTCACCTTGAAGCCAACGGGGACTCCGTAGATGGGAAAGGTATGTGGCAGCATTTTAGTATCTCTTTAGGTATATTTGTAGCTCGTTCGCTTTGTGGTGGCGACCCCATTTTTGTTTGTTTTGTCCTGGCACTCAGTCTTCTTTGTCTAGCACATTTCATTTTGTTTTTCCTTTGCCTTCCTACTATGTAGTGTGATACACTTCCTGGGATTCTACATTGACAGCAGCCTCGAAATTTTGCTATCTTGCTTTCCACCCTCCCTCAAAAAACAATCTGTCTATTTG